ATTATCACCCCCGTGTTGTACACCCAGAAAAAGATAAACCCAACAAAAACCCACCCAAAATGCGAACCCAAATTAAAAGGAGGCGGCAAGAAAAGCGCCAGGCGTGGCTCCCGGGGCTGGGCGATGTGCAGAGCCCGTGGGGGATTTGGGGAGCAGCGTTTGGGAGAGCAGCACCCCGCGGGCGCGGGTGGGTGGCAGGCGGCACCCCGCGCAGAGGGGAGGCTGTTTCCTGGGGGTGGGGGGAAGGAACCCCATTTAATGTTTAACCTGCGGGAGGTTTATTGGCCCCTTCTGAGGCGCAGATTAGGAGCAAACAGAAAAACAGCCGCGGGCGGAGCGAGGCGGCCCCGCCGCGCTGATAAGGCGGCGGCGCGGAGCGCGGAGGGTGCGGGGAGCTGCGGGACACGGGGCTCAGGCAATGAGGGACCCCAGGAGCTGCGGGACACGGGGCTCAGGAAATGAGGGACCCCAGGAGCTGCGGAACACGGGGTTCAGGCAATGAGGGACTCCAGGAGCTGCGGGACACGGCGCAGAGAGAGCAGCGGAGCGCGCAGCGGCCGCCCCCGCGCAGCCGGGGACGCCGGCGGTGGCTGCTCCGTGCGGACGGAGAAAGTCGCCTCTAATTCAACAGAATCCCAAAACGGGTTGCTTCAGAAGGGATCTTAAAGCTCATCTCGTTCCAACTACATATACGAGCTAAAAAATAATTAAAAAAAAAAAAATACATAAAGCTCATCTCGTTCCAACTACATTTACGAGCTAAAAAATAATTTTTTAAAAAAAATACAGCGAAATAAAATAGTAATTTAAGAAAAAAAAATTAAGAAATTCAAGTTAAAAAAAATAAAATTAACCCAAACCAAAACAAAAAAACCCAGACTTTTTAAGGTTTAGTTTGTTGTTTTTTGTTCCCCAACTGGGACAAAGCTTTGCCTCCTTTCTCGAATCTTTCTCCGACTCCCTGCGTGGGCAACTCTCGCGGGCCGGGAGGAGCCGCTGCGAGCCGAGACCCCCAAAATCTCGTTTTCGCCCATTTTACGGCGACAAAACCCATTCGCTCCCGGTCCTCCACAGCTCTCCGCGGCTGCGGCGCCTTTTTCCCGTCGCCTGCGGCCACGCGCGGATCGAAAACAACGAAACCGCACGCGGATTTCTGCCGCTCTCCCGGGCCAGAGCCGGGCCAGAGCCGGGCCAGAGCCGGGCCAGAGCCGGGGCCGCCCCGGTGCTCGGTGGCCGCGGGCCTGAAGGAGCCGTCGTTGGGACAAAGTCGTTTGAAAGAGGCTGAAATTAAAACAAAACTCGTGAAAAAAAAATTTAAATATATATATTTCCCGAGGTTTTATTCAGCGCCATCTTGTCCCTTTTTCTATCACGTATGTGTATTAATTTTGCTGTATTAATTAGTGATATTAATTATTTGCGTTGTCAAAGCCCTCGGGCATTAGCCTCGACCCAGCCCCGCGGTCGTGCTCGCAGTTCCGGGGTGGTTTTGGGGTTTGTGTTGAAAAAGGACACTTGGTGCTGCGGTGGAGACATGTTCGGGGAAGGGATTCATAGCAGGAGAGGAAGGATTAAAAAAGAAAGGAAAAGAAAGAAAGGAAAAGGAAGGGAAAGAATGGAAAAGAAAGGAAGAAGGAAAGAAAGAAGGAAATAAAGAAAAGCAAGAAAGAAAAGCAAGAAAGAAAGCAAGAAAGAAAGCAAGAAAAAAAAACCAAACAAAACGAACAAAACAAAGTGAAAACAAATAAACAAAAAAATGAAAATGAAGAACGAAAAAACGGGAGTGGGGGGTGAGGGGTAGAAGTGTTAATGGGAAAATAAAACGAAAGGTTGGAGAGGGAAAAGGAGAAGCGAATGTAAAAGCAGCAGGAGCTGCCCGGGCCCCGCGGGGCCAGGCGCACCCCACGCGCGGGGGTGAATTCCACGCACGGCCGGGGAAAACCCCCGCAGGAGGGACCCCCGAGCGCCCCTCCGAGCGGGGCACGAAGGAAGGAGGCGAGCAGGGAGCGCCGCGCCGCGAAAGGGACACGACGGCGGTGCCGCCCTCCCAAGAAATAATCACGAGCGGATTTCCCGGTCCTGAGTGCCGGAATAAATCGGTGGCGGGGAGGGGGCTCCCACTGGAGGGGGGCTGGGATGGGAGCGCACCCAGAGCCACGCGAGGGACACGCAGGGTGGGGAGGCACCCCCTGCCCGCCGCCCCACGCGGGGAGGGAGGCGCAGGAGCGCTCCCACCTCCCGCATCCCCCTCGGGGAAGGAGCCGGCGCCTTTTCCCAGGGCAAGAGGGGCCGGGGTTTAGCGAGTGGGGGTCACACCCGTGCAAGGACCCCAAAAAATGCCACCGTGGGAGCTCTGCGGCACCCAGGGCCCTCGCAGGCCTCGCGGGGCGGTCACGAAGTTGGTGGAGATTAATCTGGAGCGGGCCCGGGGGTCTGCGGCCGCGACTCGGGGTCGCAGAGATGAATGGCCCGAGGGGACGCGCTGGGCACCGCCAGCTGCTGCCCAGATGTTTCTCCGTGGGACCCCTCCTCTTCTGCGGAGCCCCTCGGGGCCAGCGGGGCCGGAGGGAGCGCGGGGCGGCCGGAGCTGCAGCCCCCTCATCTCCCAGCTGAATAATTAATGGTTCATCTGCGGAGGGGGCGGCGGGACGGGGGGAACTGGGCTGGAAAGAGGAGAAAAGCGGCGGTGCCATTTCTAGTGGCCCGGCGTGGTCATCGATCCGCGGCTCACTGACTCGGACTAATCCATCAGATGGACTCCTGCGGCCCCGGACCGGGACCAGGACCAGGGCTAGGATCGAAAATAGGAACAAACAAAAAGAGAAGAGGAATAAGAATAGCACCGGGACCAGAACCAGGACCAAGACCAGAAACAGGAATAGAACCAGGAGCAGAACGAGGAACAGGACCAGAAAGAGAAATAGGAATTAGAACCAGGACAGAAGCAGGAACAGGATCAGAACCAGTACCAGTACTTGCCCCGGCCATGCCACACGTAGAACACATTTTTTTTTTTTTCTTTTTTTTTTTTTTTTCCTTTTACCGGGAAGGAAAAATTCCTCTTGCCGCCCAGGTCCCTTCCCTGCTTGCCGGGGGCGAAGGTGGCAACCATCCGGACCCCTCCAGGCCCCCAGCCCGGGGCAGCCGGAAAGAACGAGCGGACTCTCCCCGAGGCCTCGGGCTGGGGATTCGCCTGCATCGAGCGGGGGGCTCGGGCCCGGCGCCCCCCAGCGCGACCCCTTCCCCCCGATGCCGCCGCTCGGGGCAGCCGGGCCGGGGCTGAGCCCGGGGGGCTGCGGCGGACCCCAGGGCCGGGCCCGGGCCGGCGAGGCGGTGGCAGGAGCGAAACGAAAGCGGGAGCCAGCGGGGCTCGGGGCCGGAACAAAGCGGCAGGAGCAGGGGGCAGCTCGGCCGAGCCCCTCCAGGAGCCGCGTGGGGAGCGAGGGCAGCTCGGGCAGGGTCAGGACGGGAGCCTGGGCTGGTGGTTGGTGGATTTTTCCCTGTTTTCACGGACAGCAAATGAACAAACACCGTTCCCCGGAAATCTGGGGGGTTAATTCCTGTAAATAATGGGGACATGGCGGCCCTGGCGCTGGGGGAAACGGCGCCAGGAAAGAAAAATAATTCTGAGGAGAATAAACCTCCCACGGCGGGGCGAGGAGCAAAGAAGTGACAGCAGGGACAGGGACCCTACGAGCCGGTCCGGGGACAGGGATCCCTGACCCGGGCCGGGGACAAGGACCTCTCGAGGCCGGCCGAGGAGAGAGTTCCCCTCGAGCTTCCCCCAGCTGCGGCCGCCTTTTTATCATCACCATCACGGATATTTTAAATTATTATTACTACTATTATTTTTAAATTATTCATTATAATTTCCAATTCTGGCGAGGCAGAAGCCCGAGCCCGCTGCTCAATTAGCCCAAACAACGGGGGCATTAAACGGCCGATCGCGGCAGTGTTTAAATCTTTATTTACCAGAACCTTGTAAAGCCAAGAACAATTTGCATTCTATTAACTGCTTTTCAATAGGGCATCGACTGGAACTAAAAGATGCCACTACCCTGCCCTAATTAAAGAGCAACTGAATTACACTAAATACATATGAACGCTGCTCTTCCCCATAAATAACGGCGGGTCCTCGTCGCTGGCTTTGCCCGTCCCCACGGGGAGCTCGGATTTCTTAAAAAATAAATTAAAGATCACTAACGTGTGTTTTGTCCGCCTCGGCTCGGCCCCGCGGAGCCAAGAGCTCCGGTCGTTTCCGGGGGAGCGGCTCTGAGCCCGGGCTGGCGGGGAGCACCGGGCACGTCCCCGCTCGCCGCTGTCCCCTCTGTCGCACCCTCCGACCCCTTCCCCGCGACCCCCGCCCGCCCTCGGCGCAGATCGCCGCGTTTCTCCAGCACAGCCTCGGCCCAGCGCCGGCCGAGACCGCCGGGAACGGCGCTGCGGGACCTCGACCCAGCCGGGACAAGGGGCAGGCGGGGCTCGGTCCTTCTGCCGAGGGCAGCCGGTGCCCGGAGGGAGCGGAGCGCGGCTCCGGTGCCGCAGCCCCGGCGGGGTGGCCCGGAGATTCCCCTGAGCGCGGCCCCGGTACCGAGAGGCGGCGGCCGAAGCGACGGCGGAGGAGTTCCAGGGTACTGCCGGCGCCACGGGGCCGGTTCGGCGGCACCGAGAGGGAAATCCCCAAGGCAGGAGGACGGGCGGCGGCCAACGGGCACCTCTGGGCTCCGTCCAGCAGCGATCCCGCATCTCTCCCGGGGAGCAGCAGGCCCGGGGAGGCGGGAGGTCGCCTTAGGTATAACTCACCTTAAACATAAATTCCTTCCCTTTGGTCTTAAGGTCACAAACCGGGTAGGTTACACCGCCCGGGCCCGTCCCCAGTTCGCAATGGCAACCCCGGAACCCCCGAGGGTTCCGACGCGTGTTCGCAGCACCCTCTGACCCACCCGCCCGGAGGTGCGGGGAGGACGGCCCGAGCCGTGCCGTGCCGTGCCGTGTCCTACCTGCCAGTCTGAGCGCCGACATCCTCTGAAATTCCGGCTCCTGCAACCATTTCCACATCCTGCGGAAAGTCTCCCGGCCGGACTTGAGCTTACTCCAGGGCTTGGGGTTCCGCAGCAGGTCCGAGAGGGTCCCCTGGGAGCGGCACAAGATCCTCTGCGCGAAGATGGCCTGCGGGATGCTGTACCGCTTCAGCTCGGCCGTGATCCGCTGGGCCACCTCCTTGGTGTTGATCTCTTCCACCTGCCCGGAGCCGCCGGGCTGGGAGCCGGGGCCGGGCGCCGGGCGCTCCCGCTCGCCCAGCAGCGAGGCTCCGGGCTGCCCGTGCGGGTGGCCGTGCGGGTGCATCCCGTTGAGCGGCGGCATCATGGCCGAGCTGGGCGCCGCCAGCCCCCGCGCCAGGTGCTCCTCGCCCCGGGACAGCATCGCGGCGTGCGAGTCGAAGCCGTTGGGCGAGAGCATCTTCTCGTTGGGCAAGTGGCCGGCGGGGCCGTAGGGGGCCAGCGGCTGCTGGGCGTTGTGGAGGCTGCCCAGCCCGTTGGGCAGCGGCGATAGGGGCTGCCCCATGGCCGGCATGTCCTTGGGGTAGTGGCTGTAGAGGTTGCCCATAGAGGCCAAGCTCCGCTCGTCGCGCATGAGGGTGAAGCTACCGCTGACGTTGCCGGCCAGGCGCTGGTGCGGGTGGTGGTGGTGGTGGTGGTGGTGCGGGTGGTGGAACTTCTCCGAGACGGTGGAGATGGGCGGCAGGTGCTGCAGGGGAGTCAGCGTGGTGTAGGTGCTGCTCAGGCTCATGCCGGAGGGCGACTCGCAGGACATGCTCATGGCGGGGTGCAGCGGGGCTCCCAGGCTGTGCTCGCCGCGGTAGTCGCCCCCCTCCAGGATGGAGGCCATGCCCGAGACCATGGCGGGCCGGCCGTGCGGCACCAGGTTGCGGTGCGAGCTCTGCCGCCCGTGCGCGGGGCTCAGCAGCTCGGCGGGCTGCGAGTGCGGGACTCCGTGCAGGCTGCCCAGGTTCTCCATCGCCAGCTCCATGGTGGCCGCCGGGCTCTGCCGCTGCCTCGCCCGCTCGCTCGCTGCCTTCCTCCCCCACCCCCCCGCCGCCGCCGCCG